CGGGTTGCCGTCTCAGTTGTAAAAAGAAAAGCATTAAGCGAAAATCTTACTTCGAGGAACAGACTCCTTTCTGTGGATTATTACTTGTTTCCATATTAAATTCATGCCTTGAATACCGCTTGAATGAAGTTTCATGCGCCTGTTTACATTTTCTTTCAGTTTTGTCGAAAACATTTGTTAAATATAAGAGTTCTCGTTTCTTCTACCGACAGACTCGTAACTTTTTGAACCCGAGTTCGCTTTTTTTAAAAAAAGGCTTTAAGTTGTTGGAACGTTTATAATCTGTAGTCTATGAAGTGTATCGCATATTTTTCAGTAAATGAACCCCTAAGCATTTGTGAGCAATTCATCGACAAGAAAAAAGCATGGTAACTTATGGTAACTTTTTTATCGGATACTGTTATGCATAAGTATAACTGGGCCCGATAGAAAGAAAACAAAATAAACTTGCGTTGAACACAGAAGTCGGCCAGCTTTTTTTTTTTAGGTCTTTTCTTGAGACATTATTTTGTTGACTCTAACATCCGTAACCTGTAAATTGGCAACCGTGGAGTATCGTGCATAAAAAAGAGTTTTTCCCTTTATATTGTGTTCATATCAGCCGTTTTCACTCAGCTGTTACCTCGAACCCCAAATCATTTTTCCTGCCGCGACACTGGACCCGCGACCGCGACTTTGGACCCGTGACCGCGACATTGGAGCCACGACCGCGACATTGGACCCGCGACCGCGACTTTGGACCCGCGACCCGCGACCCGCGACTATTAGTCAAACTCCTTGTCGCCTAGTGTGTACCGACCTTAAGTCTTCTAGCGCATGTAACGCCCTCAAATCTTTTTCAGTAGAATCTTTAAGAGTGAAGCTTTAGTTTACAGTTCCTATATTTTTTTAAAACAGCCGCTTTAACGGAAATGATTCGACATTAGATTCTCATACAAACACTGTAATTTCTGACGGGTTTGCCTACTCGTCAAGATGGCGTCGAAAACCGTGACAAGGTCTGTCATGCAACTGTCTCAGCATTAACGTCACAGTGGAACATACATTAAAACATCCAATTCATACAGTCGGAGTTGAATTTTTTCATACCCGAACTCAGTTAAATAACGAAAACAAAGTTATTTTGCTAACAAACTGTGATTTTATTCACTACACTTTTGGGTGATTTAGTGAAGGATTATTAGATAAACGGCAACATTTTTTATTTAACTCTATAAACTATCCTTCTTTTTCGCTAGCGTCATACTCAGTCGCCACGCGACCTTTTACTGCGTCGCACCCCAAAACAGGGTGAAGGGGTTTTCCGTGATGCGTGATGGGACCCAAATTTTAAGCGTGATGCGCGATCGGGCCCAAAGTAGCCGCGTGAGTTGTGATCGGGTATAGCAGCGTGATGCGTGATTTTCCTTTGAAAAATATCATTCGAAACTAGAAGCGGAGACATTAAAAATATATAGTTATGACAACAACTTCTTGCCCTTTTTTCTCGTTCCTTGACCTCTGATTTCCTCGGATCAATTTTTCGTGATGTGTGATAGCTTAAAAAAAATCAGCGTTATGCGTGATAGGTACCTCCCCTTTGCCACTTTGTCAAAAGGGTTAATTATACTTCCCGAAATGTTTACAATTGCAAAGTCTGAGAACTCTCAAGACGTAAAAACATACGGTATTTCCTCGAATAAACGTCCTCGCTCTAATAAGCGTCCTCCCTCGGAATAAGGGCCAACTCCCTAGGCCAAAATATCAAACAAGCACCCCTCCCCTCCTCCATCACTTTCTTTAATAGTAGGGATATAAGGAGAAACCTGTTTCTATTGCTAAGTTATTAATTATTGATAACTCTGTGTGTAAACTGTATAATGGACCTAAGGTACGCATGATTACCACGGGAGAACCTAAATAATAAGTGTGATTGAGCGCCCTTTTTCTAATCGAAGTTGTAACGTAATACATGGGAATTGCTTCTTTTCCATTTTATAAACTTGTTTCTTGATGAATTTAGAAATTTGGAAAAAGGGTAATTTGAAACTAACTGGTAATTTTCTTTCAATAAGCACAAGGCGCTTATTCGTGGCATAGACATAAGGTACTTGAACCAAAAGGTAATAACGATAAATCTAATTTATTTCGGAATTCTATAAAAAATATATATATTGGATAAAGAACAGGCCCAGTGGATTAAAGCTCAGTTTGATAGGTACTTTCTGTCGGAATAGGCCTTCTGAATTAATTGATTACTTGATCAACTTTCGGTGAACACGAAAACAGTTCGCTTTTGAAAAATTTTGTTAGCACGAGCTGAAAGAGCATATTAAAATTTGCTAACCTGTAAATTCTTAGCCGTACATCTCAAAGTTATCGACTGCAACGGCCGCCGAAAATTAGAAGAATTTGTAGGAGAAAAACAACTCTGGCCACCCAGCACGCCATATTGTACCATCCACCCTGGTTAACTGTGCAGCTTCTGGAGCCAGTATCTTGTTGTTCTCATCGTTCAAGAGAACACCAATAACGTTTGCATCGAGAACACATCCCCAGTAGCTGCAGTCGTTTTTGTTACACGGTCCCTTGCCTGAGCGGTGCACGAACATGAACGAACTCAAGAAGATGTTTCGATGGTGAGAAAAACGGCCTAACTAGTATCCCTTGGTGCCAAAGCAGACGGGCGTTTTGTTTAATTTCACCCAGCGAAGACGACAGGTCTTTGGTGACGCTTCGTACCGGGAGGAAGACATCACCGGCATCAAAGCAGCCATCAAGAATTTGAATTCCATTGCAACGGTTTAAGACATTTATCCGAGGACGTGAATATAGTTCTCGGTGGCCCTTAACAGACAGAAAGCTCAACTTTTTTTCAACAACTGTTTTCATCTTCTATAAATTTAACGATAAAGGAGCACTGAACAACCGAACCAGCCCGGGGGGGGGGGTTACTTTAGTAATTTCTGGATGGGGATGTGCCGCTGGGACCCTGGAAAACCCTTAACCTATACAAGAGCTAGTTCAGCTGAATTTTGCTACCCTATACTAGAGTAAACTCCCCAAATCCCCCTATCCTAGAGTAGCTGTTTCCCTAGTCTAAATAAAATCTTCAACCAACTGATCAGTTTCCGGAAAAATGATACCCTATTCCAGACCCAAACGCTCTAATTTATTAGCCTGCGAACGGCAGACGTTTCTCCTCGCTCATCGCCGCTGAGGAACGTTTCGCGAGGAGAAACGTCTGCGACTCAGCGACAGAAATTCCATACTGATGACGCAAAATCTGTGCGGAATCCGGTCAGAAGAGCTCATTGGTCGACGGAGTAGTTTCGTTGTTTTAGCTATTGTTTACAAATGACAGACAAAAGACAAAAGGCCGCAAAGGTCAAATGTAAACGCGATGAATCTCTAACAAAACAGTCAATATTTGTGGAATATAGTCTTCTCTAAAAGTAGCAATTGAGTTTTGCAGGAGCTCATTCGCAGATGAACACAACACTTCACCAAAATCGACCAGGAGAAACGTAAAATCAAACAAATTTGCATTTGGAACCCTATGACTACCGGATTTATTATGTAAACATTGATTTACGTCATCAGTATGGAATTTCTGTCGCTGAGTCGCAGACGTTCCTCCTCGCGAAACGTCCTCAGCGACGATGAGCGAGGAGAAACGTCTGTCGTTCGCAGGCTACTGATTTATATACCCTATCCTAGAGTAAACTGCTTGAAAACCATACCCTTCACAGCGGCACATACCTATATAGCCCATATATGGCAGTACCCCCCCCCCCGGGCGAACCAGTCCTATTTCTCAAATTACTCAGGTTTTTTCAGGCTTTACCTGATCACATGACCATTGAAAGCTTTTTCCTATTCATATAATTTCACATGAATTTGATAGTCAGTTCACTCAGTTTTTAAAAAGTGGTTTGGCGAATTATTCAAAAGCAGTGCTATACCCTGTTCAGACTGACTCTACTCAATCCAGGCTAGCGGAGAGAGTCTGAAAACACGTGTCAGTTTTTTTTGTATTTTATCAATCATTTATTCCATATTGCATGCTGTGCGAGACTGATCAACCTCGTCCTCAGCGCGCTTTTCCCTGGCTTTGGAGATGGGCGCCCCACTTCCTAAGCCAGGGAAAAGCGCCCTGGGGACGAGGTTGGCGAGAAATGCATTGCGGAGAGGGAAATAATGAAAGAAAGTGGAAAGTTTGTAGAAAACAATACGACATTTATCACCTTGATTTATTTTATTGTGACCAATTCCATTTAAATGCTACAGTACTGCATGTCAGACTGAAGATTTTCTTGTGTGCATGCATTAGGCTTCGCAGGCTTAAGCCAGCAGTCCGTACACATCCGCACACGTTTTACCCCCATTGTCGCTATCACCACGACCGGCACGCAAATCTTCCCCATACCACAGACGCAGCTCGCTGTTAGCAAAGACACATTGAGGCTTCTTTGAGGCACAGAACACCAGGACTGACGAGGAAGAGCTGTATCCGGCCAGGTTATACCGTCCACTGCTATTAACAATTTTCGCTTCTGGAGCTAGTATCTTGTTGTTCTGATCAGTCAAGAGCACAAGCAGTTGTCCTTGATTTGGTTGACATCCCCAGTAGCTGTAGGCGCGTTTATTACATGACACTTTTCCCGAGCGGTGCACGAGCATGAACGAGCTCACGAAGATGTTTCGATGGTAGGAAAAACGACCATACTGGTTTCCCTTGGCGCCAAAGCAGACGGGCGACTTGTTTAGTTTCACCCAGCGAGGACAGGTCCTTGATGACGCTTCAGTAGGAATGGGAAAAATCGCCAACATTATGGCCAACATCAGAAATTTGAATTTCATGTCTTGAATTTAAGTTAAAAAAGAATAAATTGGAAAAATATGAATACAAGGACATTATTTTCATTTAAACATTTTTTTTCGTAACATTGTTCGGGCATTAATTCTTTTTTTCGCTTCCACGCATATGAATTTTCATCTGGTTCTTCTGTAACTTACAACTCATATTTACTAGGTTTATAATTTTTTTCAGGGGCACCCAACGAGAACATAGTTCAAAACCACTTAAATATAGCATTGTTGAACGTATTTTAGTATTTAAACGGTAGATATGGGCATATTTTTATCCCCTAAAAATTTTTCATCTGTTCGGATTTCCTAGCTGAAAGTCTAGTGATCCGAACATTATAGGGATCAAAAGTTACCTTGTCGAAAATTTCAGCCAGAAAAAAGGCTCCCGAAAATTCTAGGTGACCTTTTAAGGGTAAAAATACGTTAAAAATGGGCAATTATATCATTCTTAGAAGTTCGAAAATCCTAGCAGAGGCAGGCAAGCAAGAAATTTTACAACAAATGTTCCGAAAATTCTAGATCTCAAATCGTTTTCCGAACAGATATTTTCCAAAAATTGTCGTTAGGTGCCCCTGTTTTTTTATGAAGAGTAAATTTAAGCACTGAACCACCGTTTGAATCTTTTTTTTTCTGGTCCGTGACTCGAGCCGAACGTTTTTGAAAGAAAAGACAGTTTTTTTAGCGTGGATATGACTCAAAGGGTAATCGGCAACAAAATATAAAAAAAACTGTATGGTAGCCGGTCCGTTGCAGCTGAAGCTGAATATTGAACATCACAGTATCGTACCTTTCAGTCAACTCTCAAAGTGCTCCTTGAATGCTGGCGTTTCAACGAAATGCTCCGCAGTGTTTTTTGAATGAGAATCTGGGCGCTAATGAGCGCTAATGTTTTAGCGTTCCTTTGCTTATCCCAATTCCTCAGTGAGGCACAACTCGAATTTTCTCGTCAATATGTAAAGCGACAAACTAAGTCACCGCTATATTTTTATAAACACGGTTGACATTTTCTATTCTGAAGTAAATCTTGACTAAGTAAACAGGAAGACGTTATAATGGTTTATTTGCTTTGATTTTAGCAGGTCACGGAAAACATTCCGACTTAAGGCGAACGTTTTTATTAATAAACAATCCAACCCATTCTGAAAACAAAACTGGCCCTTCTTCAAGTCCTAGAGCCAATTTCTTGAAAGCCCCGATAATTAGCTAGCCAGAAAACTATAATTGTGATGTGATAAAACTATTAGTTAACAAAATGAAATATCTACTGTTTTTAAGCTAAGATACGCGCCAGTTTATTCTGTAGACTTGATTTCAATATTCGGCTTCGGGCCCGGAAAGTTACAGGGTCTTTCAAGAAGGGGGTCCCAGATGAGCCTTGTGTTTTACGAGTAGATAAAGGCGTATTGCTACCATTTTTCTCCTCTCGTTATCGCTTTTTGTAATCTGAGGCTCTTTTTTATTTTATGCATACTAACAAGAACATTATTTTCCTTAGGCCCCGAAGATCATGAAATTATATTGACACATCCCGCCGTTTTTCTTTCTTTGGGGGCAGGATGCAGTTACTCGAAGGCTAGATGCGTTTAAAACCATATGACAACAGATAAATGACAAAACTCATGCAGCTTTATTATTTGTCCAAAAAACCCCTGAAAATAATTTTTTCATTTCCCATCTGTAAGTCATTTCATGATTCTCAGGGCATTCGGGAAAACTGTCTACAACGGGAAAAAATTAGGGAAGAGAAACGAATAAAGCGGGAAGGAAAGAAAGAGAAATGTCATGCAACATGAAATAATAGAAGACAGTAAAAAGTCTAGAGGAAACAACTGTGACATAAACTACGTCGATTCACTTTAATTTATTATAACTAATTCAGTTTGAATACAATAAAGCTCTCAACTTTCTCTGTAGCGATGACATTTTCAGGTTAGGAGCTTGGTCTTTGCTGTTTTACACCGGCTGTCCGTGCACATCTGCGCACGTTTTGCCACCATTGTCACTCTAGCTATCAGGGACGCGCAAATCTTCACCATACCACAGGCGCAGCTCACGTTTGGCAAAGACACATTGAGGCTTCTTTTTGGGACAGAACACAAGGACCGAGGACGAAGAATTGTAATCGGCTCCTGATCCGGCCAGATGGGTACCATCCACCCTTGCCGACAGGTGGTGTTGCTTCTGGAGCCAGTATCTTGTTGTTCTGATAGGTCAACGGGACACTAAAAAGGTTTACATCAGGAGCACATCCCCAGTAGCTGTAGTCTTTTTTGTCACACGTCACAGTTCCTGAGCGGTGCACGAGCATGAACGAACTCACGAAGATGTTTTTAGGGTAGGAAAAACGGCCAAAGTAGTCTCCATTGGCGCCGACTCAGGCAGGTGACTTGTTGAGTTTCACCTAGCGAGGAGGTGCTTCATTGGGGACGGGAAACATCGGCACCAATATGGCAATAGTAGTAGTAAACCTTTATTTAACTAGGGTAATCCCTTCAGAATACTTAAAAGTATATCTGTTATCAATAGGAGCCCTAAATTAAGACTAATAAAAAAGTTCAAAATAAATAATAAGAAACTAAGTAACTATAAGTTAATAATAGTACAGTATAACAATTAAAACTAATTCTTATTTACTAAATAATTATTATACACAACTGAGCCATTATAATAAAAACTTTTCTTGGCGGTCTCAGTTCTTACTGCAGGTAAGTATATAAAATTACTTCTTCTTGTTTCTCTTGAAATAACTTCCTTATTCAACTTAAAATAACTCTTTAAAAACAGGAATTTGAATTCCATCACTTGAATTTGAGCTAAAAAATATAAAAACAAGCAAAACAAGGGCATAGTTTTTTATTATTATTATTTTTCATCAATTTTCTATCGCAACTTTTTTCGGGTACGAATACATTTTCTGGCTTTCGTGTCGATTCGTGGATGTGAATTAGCTGGCCCAGTCTAAACTTACATAGGAAAATGGGAACTCTCTATATTTACTAAATTTATAAACTGTTTTGATGAAGAGTTACGATTCAAACACTGAGCCAAATGCATAAATCCTATCTTCATTTTGGCCAGTGACTCGAAAAGAACATTAAATAGTTTTTGAAGGAAATGAAAGTTTTAAGATAGTTTCTTTCTAGCGTGAATAATGGAGCCAATTATGATCAACAAATATAGCAACGAAAAATGTACGGTATCTGACCATTGCATCTCATATTGAACCTCACAGTATCGTACCCTTCAGTCACTACTATAAAAGTGCTCCAAGAATGCTAGTGTTTCAACGCGTTGTCAGTGGAAGGCTAGGTGTTTTTTCAGTACTGCCTGATGCTAATGAGAATCTGAGCGGTAATATTTTGGTTTTCATTTGTGTAACCCCGATTGCATCAGTGAGGCACAAAGTTCTCGGATATTTTCTTCCACTTGCTTGAGACCGGCAGTTTCAATTGCTTCAGCGATTTCCTCGCTCCCGGGTCCTCACTTTCCACTGTATCGGGCCGGTGCAGTACTTGTTCAACAGGCCAAAATCGTGGTGAGGAGCAGCTACTTTGCAAGCAGGACAAAGACGCTTGCGAGAGTTCTTTTTAGAGGCCACAGGTAACAAACGAGACGACTAGCGCGGACGTGATCTATGCAAAGCGATTGATACAAAATACATGACTGAAACCGGAAGCAAATTTTAACAGTAAGTAAACAGGGAAAACGGTAAGGGGAATGTTCCCTTGTACCAGTCCTAGGGCCCATTCTCGAGAGCCTTGACAATACCCATGCCCGGAAAGCTACTACGCAGTGTTTACCTTCGAGATCAAGGTTTATGAATGAAACTATCACTTAAGAAAGCGAACTGAGGGACTGATTTGACAGCTAGGACCGGCGCTAAAGATCTTTATTTTGATTTTGATTTTAATACTTTACTACTTCGGACCCGCAACGTTATCGATTATTTCAAGAAAAGGGGGTCTGGTGTTTTATATTCTGGCCTTGTTCTAGAGCGTCTCAATGGGGTCGTAGCTTTGACGGTGGTTAAATTTTACCTGGATTATAGACCTTTTGACTGTTGACGGTAAATTAAGTGGAAATTTAGTCCAAGAGTTTAAATATAACTCTCAGTTTAAATTAATATAAACTGTTGTGTTTTGGAGATTTCTTTGTGCTTTTCGCTCATGAAATTTCGAAATATTTTCAGATATATGCAAATTGTAAGGTCTTGTAATGACTAGGGGTGGTCTTTTTGCAAACATAGAAACTGGTTTTCCCAGTTTAGAGATTCTTCAGCAGCCAGAAGTTTGTGGAGATCAGCTGAGATAGCTTGAGATAGTGAGATTTGCAATATCATGAAACTTTTTGACGGTTAATGTTAATCTGTATTTTTGATGGCTGATGGTAAAAAATGAACCTTTTTCGACGGCAGACAGTTAAATGTTAGGCATATTGACAGCTGACGTTTAACCCCATTGAGACCCTCTTTGTAGGCTACTTATTCAAAAAAGACCAAAATTTTCCTCTACGATATAATTAGTTTTCACTCAACAACAACTACAACAATTCTTCATTTGTCCTATGTCCTTACTCCTGTTGCCCTTAAAGTCCATTTCTTCGAAGATGCTATTTCGACCTATTTCTAGTGGGATCTTTTTTCGAACGGTAGTTAAATTCGGGACTCGGGCAGGCCTTACGAGAGACTGAACGAGGCTCTGTCCTGCAAACTGAAAAAAAGTCCCGCAAAAATGTCGTGCCACACGCTGGCAAGTGTTTTTTTTTTACGGATCGACATCTACCAGAATAGTTACTATAAATTTTTCGGAGCTCACGAAGATGTTTCGATGCCATCGGCAATCCACAGTCGCTTTAAAAACCGCTGCAAAATTTGGATAAGAGAGAAAATTGCGATCAGATGGAAGCGATTTGGACCATTTAGCTTTAAGATATGAGCGTAAATCGAGGCAAGAAAACATTAGGTTTTGCGATCAAACTGTACGAGGCTCGATCAGCCCTTGCCGGCGGAAGTTCCACGGGAGTAGCTTTAAAAATGAAATGTTATTGACAAAAATAAATGGCATTCTCAGGTAGCATAGTGGTAAAAAATCGCCACGGCAAACGACGTATGCTAGGTTCAAATCTTTGGAATTGAAGAGCCTCATTTCTTTTCATTTTTATTTTTTCTCAGTACCTCCTTTTTGTTTTTTGTTGTTGAATTTTTTTGTTGTTTTGTTTTTATATTGTATATTTTATATTTGTATATATTTTTTTCCCTTTTGCCGTCTAATCTTTTCCTTTCTTCTTACTTCTTCCCTTTATAACGTTTGCCCTATAAAGTACTCGCTAAGTTCTGAGAATCACGTATGTCTAGGTATATACTGCGCACAAGAGAGAACTCATTTCTCTCTTGGCAGGGTATTCATATTATTCAGTAAGGTTTTACTGTCGGAGTTCGAATACTCCACTGTCATGCAAGAAACTTATAGTAAGCCGTGAAGACTGAGTGACAAAAAAACCGACCCGCTATGCTTGGGAGGTGTTTTAGCCATGTTAGCCGCAGACATTTCAGAGGAAACATTCATTATACCTCGAGATCAGTTTATTGAGTCATTAACATAACAAATAACTACAAAGCTCTGCGCTTTTTTCACGATAGTCAGTTTTAGACTAGTTTTAGTTGTTTTCGAGGTGTTCATCTCGATCTTAGTTGTTTGTTTACGCCAATAGACCATACACATCTGCGCAAGACTTTCCGCCGTTATCACTTTCGGTGCCGTCCACCCAATCTTCGCCATACCAAAGACGCAGCTCGCTGTTAGCAAAGACAACGAGAGGCTTGTTTTTGGCACAGAACACAAGGACTGAGGAGGAAGAACTGTATCCGGCCAGATTGTACCATCCACCCTTACTAACAGTTGATGCTTCTGGAGCCAGTATCTTGTTGTTCTGATCAGTCAAGAGTACAATCAGTCCTTCGTGATTTGGTAGACATCCCCAGTAGCTGTAGTGACTTTTGTCACTTTTGTTACACGTCACCTTTCCCGAGCGGTGCACGAGCATGAACGAGCTCACAAAGATGTTTTGTTGGTAGGAAAAACGACCAAACTGGTTTCCCCGCGCACCGAAGCAGACCGGCGACTTGTTCAGTTTCACCCAGCGAGGACAGGTCTTTGATGAAGCTTCGTACTGAGCAAAAAATATCGCCACCATCAAGGTAATCAACAGGAATTTGAATTCCATAATTGTGTTCGCGCTGTAATTAAAAGGAGAGTAAAAAGAGGAATAAAGTTCACATACGTTTTTCGATTGAATATTTTTACTCATCATCCGTGTGAATTGTAATATGGCCCTTCTACAGCTAAAACATCATGCATGACAATAATAACTTTCCAAATTGTATCAATTTAATTTTTCAATTTTAAAAGAGCGAGACTGAACCAAAAAATAAATGTCATTTTTATTTTGGAGAGTGACTCGAGCAGAGCCATTTTCTGAACAAAAAAAGAAACTGACGTGTTCAGTCTTCTGGAACCAACTGTGACTCAAAGCACAAAAAATTTTTCAGAATATTTTATAAACTGAACTAGAGCATAACGAAAGCTCTCACAATAACGTACCTTTTATGCCACTATACTTCTGTAATGCTGGGATTTCAACGAAGGACTCAGTCCGTCAGATGTTTCCGGTAGCCTCCAAACATAAATGAGAATATAATTCCTCATTTCTTGGTTTTCATCTGCTTCAGCCCAATTGTATCAGAAGGGAATAACTCGAATTTTCTCGTCAATATGTAAAACGATGACCAATTTTAATTAGTGACTATTTTTAATCGCTACGGTTGACACACAGTGAAACCTCTATTAGGCGGACACTTTCGGGACCTTCAGGTGTCCGCTTAATAGAGGGTGCCCGCTTAATAGAGTTTGTAAAAATTGCGCATTGTTTGTGATAAAGTTCCAAAGAACTTTTAGGTGAACTTTAATGGCGGATGGCAATCATACGGCCGGATATCACTATAATTCCACACGTTATTGACAGTTAAATGTATTGATTTATCCTTATTAATCGACTACATTACGTATTTCAAGGACGTAATCCAATACTAGGGGGTTCGTTATAAAGGGAAACATTACCGTTAATTTCGGGACCCGGCTTAGTGTTCGCTTAATTAGGGGTCCGTTTATAATTAATAGAGGTTCCGCTGTATTTTAGTCTGAGCAAATCACTAAGTAAACACAGTAGAAGTAAAAGTGATTGAAATATTTTCTTCGCTTTATATCAGCCTGGTCACGAAAAATATAAAATCCCACCGATTTTGAAACAAAGTTTCCCTTGTCGAGAGAAAATTCACAAGTAACAACAATATAACATTTCGTTACTAGCATTCCCTTATCCAGAAATTGTATTGCTTTAAAACTATTACGCTGTAATTTTAATAATTTCAAAATAACCAAATAAATAGAGAGTGTTAATTAAATGTAATAGTCATTTTCTTTTTAAGAATAAAAATCAACGATAAAAATTTTGAATGACGTTTCGATGACTCGCTCATCATTTTCAAATTCTAAAGAGATAGATTGTTAAAAGTTCTTTATATATTAAGAATGCGTGTGAAGTCTCGTTGCATGTGATTAAAAACTACAATGTGGAATGCAGTGAGTGTTAATTAGGTACTAAATAGTTTCGCTTTTATTGAGTCTGATTGAGTGTTCAGTTTGGGTTTCATTTCCTGGATAAAAAGCATTTCGTAGATCAAGCATTCATTTTATCCAGGAAATGAAACCCAAACTGAACACTCTTTTCTATTGGAATGCAATTTATATAGCAATTTAAGAAAACAAGTTTTTCAAGACGTAGAAGCCAAGTACTCCAAATACGGTCGACTCTCTCTAAAACGGACACCTAGAGTTGGTCCCTGCCTTCCTTTACTCCCTTTATTTGACTCTCTATAAGACGGACATCTCTCTAAGACGGACACTTACTGCCGGTCCCAGAGGTGTCCGACTTAGAGGGAGTTGACTGTACGTAGATTTGAACAAATCGGAAAAAGTTATTTTTGTTTTTAGCAATATTGATTCATATGTTTGTGAAAAAAACGTGGCTACTATGTCTATAAAGCATTTCAACTTAGAGAAACTTATTTCATGAAACAAAAGCATGGGAAACAGAGATTACTAATTCATTTGCAAAATGCAAGGACGATTTTTCTTAGCATGCCTTCTACTTGAACGCCGGCAAAGAGATTTGGGCGATTATTTCCAAGATTTTCTGTTTATTTGTTTCCAAAAAAGTAGGAAACTTAAAAAATTTTCGTCACAAGCGTTTGTGTGTTTGTCGGCACCAGAACAGTTACTTTTCTGTAGATCAGAGGAGGCTATGGGTGCCTATTTGAACATAATGAAGTTTACGTTAGGCTTACCCTTGCGAATTCAATCAACTATTGCAGGAGGACATGTAAGAGGAAACAGATTTTAAGTTTGGCATCTTAGGTCTTAGGTCCTTTCTCTTGAAACCTGTACATTTGTTCAGTCAGGGGTTCCTAAGCTGCACGTTGTACAGTCTGAGGCACATGTAATAATACTGAGGTAGTATTATTGCCATGAAACAACACTGAATACCTGAACCCTTGCTCAACATACGCTGTTATTTCATGACTAAGAAGATACCTACAAATCTTGTATTGGAATACCATTAATTGTGACGTTACCAGAAATGAAAAGCATGAACGAGCTCACGAAGATGTTTCGATGGTAGGAAAAACGACCATACTGGTTTCCCTTGGCGCCAAAGCAGACGGGCGACTTGTTTAGTTTCACCCAGCGAGGACAGGTCCTTGATGACGCTTCAGTAGGAATGGGAAAAATCGCCAACATTATGGCCAACATCAGAAATTTGAATTTCATGTCTTGAATTTAAGTTAAAAAAGAATAAATTGGAAAAATATGAATACAAGGACATTATTTTCATTTAAACATTTTTTTTCGTAACATTGTTCGGGCATTAATTCTTTTTTTCGCTTCCACGCATATGAATTTTCATCTGGTTCTTCTGTAACTTACAACTCATATTTACTAGGTTTATAATTTTTTTCAGGGGCACCCAACGAGAACATAGTTCAAAACCACTTAAATATAGCATTGTTGAACGTATTTTAGTATTTAAACGGTAGATATGGGCATATTTTTATCCCCTAAAAATTTTTCATCTGTTCGGATTTCCTAGCTGAAAGTCTAGTGATCCGAACATTATAGGGATCAAAAGTTACCTTGTCGAAAATTTCAGCCAGAAAAAAGGCTCCCGAAAATTCTAGGTGACCTTTTAAGGGTAAAAATACGTTAAAAATGGGCAATTATATCATTCTTAGAAGTTCGAAAATCCTAGCAGAGGCAGGCAAGCAAGAAATTTTACAACAAATGTTCCGAAAATTCTAGATCTCAAATCGTTTTCCGAACAGATATTTTCCAAAAATTGTCGTTAGGTGCCCCTGTTTTTTTATGAAGAGTAAATTTAAGCACTGAACCACCGTTTGAATCTTTTTTTTTCTGGTCCGTGACTCGAGCCGAACGTTTTTGAAAGAAAAGACAGTTTTTTTAGCGTGGATATGACTCAAAGGGTAATCGGCAACAAAATATAAAAAAAACTGTATGGTAGCCGGTCCGTTGCAGCTGAAGCTGAATATTGAACATCACAGTATCGTACCTTTCAGTCAACTCTCAAAGTGCTCCTTGAATGCTGGCGTTTCAACGAAATGCTCCGCAGTGTTTTTTGAATGAGAATCTGGGCGCTAATGAGCGCTAATGTTTTAGCGTTCCTTTGCTTATCCCAATTCCTCAGTGAGGCACAACTCGAATTTTCTCGTCAATATGTAAAGCGACAAACTAAGTCACCGCTATATTTTTATAAACACGGTTGACATTTTCTATTCTGAAGTAAATCTTGACTAAGTAAACAGGAAGACGTTATAATGGTTTATTTGCTTTGATTTTAGCAGGTCACGGAAAACATTCCGACTTAAGGCGAACGTTTTTATTAATAAACAATCCAACCCATTCTGAAAACAAAACTGGCCCTTCTTCAAGTCCTAGAGCCAATTTCTTGAAAGCCCCGATAATTAGCTAGCCAGAAAACTATAATTGTGATGTGATAAAACTATTAGTTAACAAAATGAAATATCTACTGTTTTTAAGCTAAGATACGCGCCAGTTTATTCTGTAGACTTGATTTCAATATTCGGCTTCGGGCCCGGAAAGTTACAGGGTCTTTCAAGAAGGGGGTCCCAGATGAGCCTTGTGTTTTACGAGTAGATAAAGGCGTATTGCTACCATTTTTCTCCTCTCGTTATCGCTTTTTGTAATCTGAGGCTCTTTTTTATTTTATGCATACTAACAAGAACATTATTTTCCTTAGGCCCCGAAGATCATGAAATTATATTGACACATCCCGCCGTTTTTCTTTCTTTGGGGGCAGGATGCAGTTACTCGAAGGCTAGATGCGTTTAAAACCATATGACAACAGATAAATGACAAAACTCATGCAGCTTTATTATTTGTCCAAAAAACCCCTGAAAATAATTTTTTCATTTCCCATCTGTAAGTCATTTCATGATTCTCAGGGCATTCGGGAAAACTGTCTACAACGGGAAAAAATTAGGGAAGAGAAACGAATAAAGCGGGAAGGAAAGAAAGAGAAATGTCATGCAACATGAAATAATAGAAGACAGTAAAAAGTCTAGAGGAAACAACTGTGACATAAACTACGTCGATTCACTTTAATTTATTATAACTAATTCAGTTTGAATACAATAAAGCTCTCAACTTTCTCTGTAGCGATGACATTTTCAGGTTAGGAGCTTGGTCTTTGCTGTTTTACACCGGCTGTCCGTGCACATCTGCGCACGTTTTGCCACCATTGTCACTCTAGCTATCAGGGACGCGCAAATCTTCACCATACCACAGGCGCAGCTCACGTTTGGCAAAGACACATTGAGGCTTCTTTTTGGGACAGAACACAAGGACCGAGGACGAAGAATTGTAATCGGCTCCTGATCCGGCCAGATGGGTACCATCCACCCTTGCCGACAGGTGGTGTTGCTTCTGGAGCCAGTATCTTGTTGTTCTGATAGGTCAACGGGACACTAAAAAGGTTTACATCAGGAGCACATCCCCAGTAGCTGTAGTCTTTTTTGTCACACGTCACAGTTCCTGAGCGGTGCACGAGCATGAACGAACTCACGAAGATGTTTTTAGGGTAGGAAAAACGGCCAAAGTAGTCTCCATTGGCGCCGACTCAGGCAGGTGACTTGTTGAGTTTCACCTAGCGAGGAGGTGCTTCATTGGGGACGGGAAACATCGGCACCAATATGGCAATAGTAGTAGTAAACCTTTATTTAACTAGGGTAATCCCTTCAGAATACTTAAAAGTATATCTGTTATCAATAGGAGCCCTAAATTAAGACTAATAAAAAAGTTCAAAATAAATAATAAGAAACTAAGTAACTATAAGTTAATAATAGTACAGTATAACAATTAAAACTAATTCTTATTTACTAAATAATTATTATACACAACTGAGCCATTATACTAAAAACTTTTCTTGGCGGTCTCAGTTCTTACTGCAGGTAAGTATATAAAATTGCTTCTTCTTGTTTCTCTTGAAATAACTTCCTTATTCAACTTAAAATAACTCTTTAAAAACAGGAATTGGAATTCCATCACTTGAATTTGAGCTAAAAAAATATAAAAACAAGCAAAACAAGGGCATAGTTTTTTATTATTATTATTTTTCATCAATTTTCTATCGCAACTTTTTTCGGGTATGAATACATTTTCTGGCTTTCGTGTCGATTCGTGGATGTGAATTAGCTGGCCCAGTCTAAACTTACATAGGAAAATGGGAACTCTCTATATTTACTAAATTTATAAACTGTTTTGATGAAGAGTTACGATTCAAACACTGAGCCAAATGCATAAATCCTATCTTCATTTTGGCCAGTGACTCGAAAAGAACATTAAATAGTTTTTGAAGGAAATGAAAGTTTTAAGATAGTTTCTTTCTAGCGTGAATAATGGAGCCAATTATGATCAACAAATATAGCAACGAAAAATGTACGGTATCTGACCATTGCATCTCATATTGAACCTCACAGTATCGTACCCTTCAGTCACTACTATAAAAGTGCTCCAAGAATGCTAGTGTTTCAACGCGTTGTCAGTGGAAGGCTAGGTGTTTTTTCAGTACTGCCTGATGCTAATGAGAATCTGAGCGGTAATATTTTGGTTTTCATTTGTGTAACCCCGATTGCATCAGTGAGGCACAAAGTTCTCGGATATTTTCTTCCACTTGCTTGAGACCGGCAGTTTCAATTGCTTCAGCGATTTCCTCGCTCCCGGGTCCTCACTTTCCACTGTATCGGGCCGGTGCAGTACTTGTTCAACAGGCCAAAATCGTGGTGAGGAGCAGCTACTTTGCAAGCAGGACAAAGACGCTTGCGAGAGTTCTTTTTAGAGGCCACAGGTAACAAACGAGACGACTAGCGCGGACGTGATCTATGCAAAGCGATTGATACAAAATACATGACTGAAACCGGAAGCAAATTTTAACAGTAAGTAAACAGGGAAAACGGTAAGGGGAATGTTCCCTTGTACCAGTCCTAGGGCCCATTCTCGAGAGCCTTGACAATACCCATGCCCGGAAAGCTACTACGCAGTGTTTACCTTCGAGATCAAGGTTTATGAATGAAACTATCACTTAAGAAAGCAAACTGAGGGACTGATTTGACAGCTAGGACCGGCGCTAAAGATCTTTATTTTGATTTTGATTTTAATACTTTACTACTTCGGACCCGCAACGTTATCGATTATTTCAAGAAAAGGGGGTCTGGTGTTTTATATTCTGGCCTTGTTCTAGAGCGTCTCAATGGGGTGGTAGCTTTGACGGTGGTTAAATTTTACCTGGATTATAGACCTTTTGACTGTTGACGGTAAATTAAGTGGAAATTTAGTCCAAGAGTTTAAATATAACTCTCAGTTTAAATTAATATAAACTGTTGTGTTTTGGAGATTTCTTTTTGCTTTTCGCTCATGAAATTTCGAAATATTTTCAGATATATGCAAATTGTAAGGTCTTGTAATGACTAGGGGTGGTCTTTTTGCAAACATAGAAACTGGTTTTCCCAGTTTAGAGATTCTTCAGCAGCCAGAAGTTTGTGGAGATCAGCTGAGATAGCTTGAGATAGTGAGATTTGCAATATCATGAAACTTTTTGACGGTTAATGTTAATCTGTATTTTTGATGGCTGATGGTAAAAAATGAACCTTTTTCGACGGCAGACAGTTAAATGTTAGGCATATTGACAGCTGACGTTTAACCCCATTGAGACCCTCTTTGTAGGCTACTTATTCAAAAAAGACCAAAATTTTCCTCTACGATATAATTAGTTTTCACTCAACAACAACTACAACAATTCTTCATTTGTCCTATGTCCTTACTCCTGTTGCCCTTAAAGTCCATTTCTTCGAAGATGCTATTTCGACCTATTTCTAGTGGGATCTTTTTTCGAACGGTAGTTAAATTCGGGACTCGGGCAGGCCTTACGAGAGACTGAACGAGGCTCTGTCCTGCAAACTGAAAAAAAGTCCCGCAAAAATGTCGTGCCACACGCTGGCAAGTGTTTTTTTTTTACGGATCGACATCTACCAGAATAGTTACTATAAATTTTTCGGAGCTCACGAAGATGTTTCGATGCCATCGGCAATCCACAGTCGCTTTAAAAACCGCTGCAAAATTTGGATAAGAGAGAAAATTGCGATCAGATGGAAGCGATTTGGACCATTTAGCTTTAAGATATGAGCGTAAATCGAGGCAAGAAAACATTAGGTTTTGCGATCAAACTGTACGAGGCTCGATCAGCCCTTGCCGGCGGAAGTTCCACGGGAGTAGCTTTAAAAATGAAATGTTATTGACAAAAATAAATGGCATTCTCAGGTAGCATAGTGGTAAAAAATCGCCACGGCAAACGACGTATGCTAGGTTCAAATCTTTGGAATTGAAGAGCCTCATTTCTTTTCATTTTTATTTTTTCTCAGTACCTCCTTTTTGTTTTTTGTTGTTGAATTTTTTTGTTATTTTGTTTTTATATTGTATATTTTATATTTGTATATATTTTTTTCCCTTTTGCCGTCTAATCTTTTCCTTTCTTCTTACTTCTTCCCTTTATAACGTTTGCCCTATAAAGTACTCGCGAAGTTCTGAGAATCACGTATGTCTAGGTATATACTGCGCACAAGAGAGAACTCATTTCTCTCTTGGCAGGGTATTCATATTATTCAGTAAGGTTTTACTGTCGGAGTTCGAATACTCCACTGTCATGCAAGAAACTTATAGTAAGCCGTGAAGACTGAGTGACAAAAAAACCGACCCGCTATGCTTGGGAGGTGTTTTAGCCATGTTAGCCGCAGACATTTCAGAGGAAACATTCATTATACCTCGAGATCAGTTTATTGAGTCATTAACATAACAAATAACTACAAAGCTCTGCGCTTTTTTCACGATAGTCAGTTTTAGACTAGTTTTAGTTGTTTTCGAGGTGTTCATCTCGATCTTAGTTGTTTGTTTACGCCAATAGACCATACACATCTGCGCAAGACTTTCCGCCGTTATCACTTTCGGTGCCGTCCACCCAATCTTCGCCATACCAAAGACGCAGCTCGCTGTTAGCAAAGACAACGAGAGGCTTGTTTTTGGCACAGAACACAAGGACTGAGGAGGAAGAACTGTATCCGGCCAGATTGTACCATCCACCCTTACTAACAGTTGATGCTTCTGGAGCCAGTATCTTGTTGTTCTGATCAGTCAAGAGTACAATCAGTCCTTCGTGATTTGGTAGACATCCCCAGTAGCTGTAGTGACTTTTGTCACTTTTGTTACACGTCACCTTTCCCGAGCGGTGCACGAGCATGAACGAGCTCACAAAGATGTTTTGTTGGTAGGAAAAACGACCAAACTGGTTTCCCCGCGCACCGAAGCAGACCGGCGACTTGTTCAGTTTCACCCAGCGAGGACAGGTCTTTGATGAAGCTTCGTACTGAGCAAAAAATATCGCCACCATCAAGGTAATCAACAGGAATTTGAATTCCATTATTGTGTTCGCGCTGTAATTAAAAGGAGAGTAAAAAGAGGAATAAAGTTCACATACGTTTTTCGATTGAATATTTTTACTCATCATCCGTGTGAATTGTAATATGGCCCTTCTACAGCTAAAACATCATGCATGACAATAATAACTTTCCAAATTGTATCAATTTAATTTTTCAATTTTAAAAGAGCGAGACTGAACCAAAAAATAAATGTCATTTTTATTTTGGAGAGTGACTCGAGCAGAGCCATTTTCTGAACCAAAAAAGAAACTGACGTGTTCAGTCTTCTGGAACCAACTGTGACTCAAAGCACAAAAAATTTTTCAGAATATTTTATAAACTGAACTAGAGCATAACGAAAGCTCTCACAATAACGTACCTTTTATGCCACTATACTTCTGTAATGCTGGGATTTCAACGAAGGACTCAGTCCGTCAGATGTTTCCGGTAGCCTCCAAACATAAATGAGAATATAATTCCTCATTTCTTGGTTTTCATCTGCTTCAGCCCAATTGTATCAGAAGGGAATAACTCGAATTTTCTCGTCAATATGTAAAACGATGACCAATTTTAATTAGTGACTATTTTTAATCGCTACGGTTGACACACAGTGAAACCTCTATTAGGCGGACACTTTCGGGACCTTCCGGTGTCCACTTAATAGAGGGTGCCCGCTTAATAGAGTTTGTAAAAATTGCGCATTGTTTGTGATAAAGTTCCAAAGAACTTTTAGGTGAACTTTAATGGCGGATGACAATCATACGGCCGGATATCACTATAATTCCACACTTTATTGACAGTTAAATGTATTGATTTATCCTTATTAATCGACTACATTACGTATTTCAAGGACGTAATCCAATACTAGGGGGTTCGTTATAAAGGGAAACCGTTACCGTTAATTTCGGGACCCGGCTTAGTGTTCGCTTAATTAGGGGTCCGCTTATAATTAATAGAGGTTCCACTGTATTTTAGTCTGAGCAAATCACTAAGTAAACACAGTAGAAGTAAAAGTGATTGAAATATTTTCTTCGCTTTATAGCAGCCTGGTCACGAAAAATATAAAATCCCACCGATTTTGAAACAAAGTTTCCCTTGTCGAGAGAAAATTCACAAGTAACAACAATATAACATTTCGTTACTAGCATTCCCTTATCCAGAAATTGTATTGCTTTAAAACTATTACCCTGTAATTTTAATAATTTCAAAATAACCAAATAAATAGAGAGTGTTAATTAAATGTAATAGTCATTTTCTTTTTAAGAATAAAAATCAACGATAAAAATTTTGAA